GTCAGGCAGATAGAGAAAAATAATATTTATTTAATGTGTGAGTGAACAGATGATATTTATATTGAATTAAATCAATATAATTGGTATTATATATTGAGAAATTATTGCATTTAGTGAAGCTGAATTTGGGTGTTGTGTGTTGTTTGATTCAAGTCTGAATTATATATAATTTTTATTTATCCTTAAAACCTCAAATATGTTATTTTTATGAATTTTGTAATGCTACGTAATATAGGCATTGCTCACTGTGTCTTAAATACAGATGCGGTATTGATATACAATTATTAATACATATTTTCTAGGAAAGGGATATTGATTATTTTTAAGCAATGAACTATTTATTTAATGTCTTTTCTGTACTAGGCTTTGATATATCTTATCAAAGTGATAAGTAATTCTCAAGTAAGTAAATATCAAGTTATCAAGTAATTTCAAATGAAAAACACCCATTCCTGGATCATTTGTGAAGTACTTTTATAAATCAATGACTTTACCCTTCAAATCAAGAAGAGAAGAAGGCTTCCCAGGAGACCGTATTATCAAGAGAGAGCTGCTTGAATAACAAGGAAGCTCAAATCAGGTCACAGGCTTTCTCGACTTTGCACAAGAAGGCAAGAGTGTACTTTGTGGTACTTTAGCAAAGCTCTGCCTTGAAATGTCAGGTGAGGGAGAAAACCTGGCTTACCTATATCTGGAACAGGACTAACATCAAAGAACTCTGCATAAATCAGTGAGTACAGAAACTTTGTTTCATTTTACAGGAAGTCATAGGGGCTTACCGGATGCTTCTTTCTGTGAGTCAGTCCATCCTTGTTTGCTTTTCTCGTGGACTTGGGCAAGCAGTATGAGCCAAATAAGGAAGGGAGGGAGCCTAACATATTCCTTCACTGGAGAAACACAGAACCGTTCTTGCCAATTCAAACATGACCATAATGTTTGGCCTCCTTCCTGAGCATAAATATTTGGGAGACCAAGGAGTATAGATTCTAAAAATGTTTAAATAAATAAATAAATATGGGAAAATATAAAGAAATAAATAAAATACTTAAAAACCTACGAATAAGGAAGAGGCATGAGAATCCTGGCACTAGTCCCTTAATCATGAAAGGGAAGGTGATTTGGTTTAAGCAGAATGTGCTCTGACCAGAGAGAGAAACATGTTGCCAGACAACATTTGCTATCCTTACAGCAAAGCTCAATATTTAAAAATAATCCTAATGGAACTCCTGAGGCTAATAGCTATATTTTGAAGATAGGGTATGCAATTATATTAATCCTTTCTTATTTCTTCTGAAAGTCTCATCCAAATCAACATAGATTGACATTTTGAACAATTGAATAACCTGCCAAGTGAAAGTAGAAACCAGTAGAAAGAGTACCTGTGATTCTCACCCTAAATACCAGGGCAATGAAGAAATTTTAATGAAAAAAAATCTATTGTTGTTTTCCTCTAGGACTTTTCTCCTGACCAAAGATTAGACTAATGTGTGATTTGAATAAGACCAGCTAGGAAATACTCAGGCCACTCCAGCTAGGGTCTGTGTACCCTAAGCAAAGAATTAAATTTTGACTGCATATCTCCACAAGGCCTGATAATGGTAGCCCTGACATTAATGACTGTGGATAGGTGAAATATTGGGATGAATAATATATACAACATTTGTACAGTTTAGCATTTGTGAGGATAACTGCATATAGATATGAAGAATTATGTACTTATCTATTCAGTTTTTAAAATGTAGGATGTGATAACCGGTGGATAAGAAAAAAATATGTACTATACTCTCTGTGGGAGGAGACCCAGTGTATTTACAGCAGGTTTTATCTGAATACATGAGTTGGATAACACAGAGCATGAAAATGGTCTTATGTCCCACACACTGTACATTATCCTGGAATATTTGGCAGACTTCTCACTTCTACATTAAAAGCAGCTAACTGTACCAGATTAAATCTTTGCTAAGATAATAAACATAATTTATGTCAGGCAGATAGAGAAAAATAATATTTATTTAATGTGTGAGTGAACAGATGATATTTATATTGAATTAAATCAATATAATTGGTATTATATATT